AAGGTGGCGCGATCGGTGACCAGCGGCCTGGCCTCCTCCCGGGACGGGCACCCGTGGTCCTCACGGGCTCCGCTTTTCTTGTTTGTGCGATCGAGGGTTGCCCCACGTCTCTGGAGTTCGGTAACAAATGGTTTTATTCCTAGAACGAGGCTCGCAAGCTGAATCACCAAGAAGTGGTGGAAGAAGATAAAAGGCTTAAATTGCCAGCAAACTGGGAAGCCAAAAAAGCTCGGCTGGAGTGGGAGCTGAAAGTAGAGGAAAAAAAGAAGGTAAACACACAATTGCAGCTTCCCGTAAGTCTGAGCGGCGCCAGGGAGGCTGGGTCACTGTCGTGGTGGCTATGCAGTCCTGGGAGCTTGTGCAGACACTACCCCCAAAGAATCCATCTCCTAATCGGACTCCCAATGATCTGAATTGCTGTCCTGCACTAGAGGTTGACTGGACTGCTCTAGGCAGTTCTAAGCTCGATCCTCAGCCACTCTCTTATTGTTAAAACTGAAGTGTTCTTTGTGCTGCGTTAGGAATGTGCAGCGAGAGGAGAAGACTACGAGCGAGTTAAACTGTTGGAGATCAGCGCTGAGGATGCCGAGAGATGGGAAAGGAGAAAGAAGAGGAAGAATCCAGATCTTGGATTTTCAGGTAGTGGCTTAACCGGGTTCATAGTGAACACCTTTATTAGTATTTTAGCTGCAAACTGAGCTGTGAAATAAAAACCTTCCCCTTGACACTAATTCATTTTCTTCCCAAGATTACGCGGCTGCACAGCTGCGCAAGTACCAGCGGCTGACCCGGCAGATCAAACCTGACCTGGAGCAGTACGAGAAGCTGAAAGAGCAGTAGTAAGTGTGATTTCAGTCACTTGATACCGTCTGTGGTATTTCTACATTAGCAAACACTAAAGACTTAGACTACTTCTTTCAGTGCACACCTGTTCTCATATACACTGATATTAATTAGTCTTTTAACATGATCTTAAAATGCACGGCCTGATTGGTTCCGCTGCAGCAGGCAAGAGGGGGAGTGGCGTAACTGATGAGGTTCGTTTCTTCAATCTTGGCATTACTGAGTTTGAAGTAGTATTTTGTCAATCAGGCCATATTTAAATGCGTGCGTAGCTAACTCGTTTCTCAGAGTAGGTTTTGAAGTTTTTAGGCAGGCCAACCGCTGAGAACTTGCCAAGTTTGCATTCAGACAGATGTAGAACGTCAGTGCGGGGTTTCTGTGCCTTCCATAGGCATTTGCTGGTGGCTCAGCACAACTGAGGGAGTTTGGTTTTAGTATTGTGTGCTCGCCTGGATCCTGGACTCCCACAGTTCAATACGAGTTAAGTGCCCTGAAGTGTTAATTAAGAATCAAACAGAAGCAGTGAAATCTCAAAGCAATTGGTACGGGTGTGTAAACTGCTGCCCTCCTTTTACTCTTGTCTAGCGGTGAAGCACTTTATCCCACATCTGACAGTCTCCTCCATGGAACTCACGTGCCATCTAAGGAAGGGGTTGATAGGATGGTTGCAGACCTTGAAAAGCAGTAAGTAAATGCTAAGATAAAATAAAGTGTCTGACAGACAATTGGATCCAGAGGATTCACCCACAGATCTTCAACCGCTGCTGTTTGCCTTACAGAATTGAAAAGCGTGAAAAGTACAGTCGCCGACGTCCTTACAACGATGATGCAGACATCGACTACATCAACGAAAGAAATGCCAAGTTCAACAAGAAGGCAGAGAGGTTCTACGGGAAGTACACGGCCGAGATCAAACAGAACTTGGAGAGAGGAACGGCTGTCTGAGCCACACACACACCCCCCAGCCCTGTGTCTGTTGGGTTGGTGCAGAGATTTTGCAGGCAATTTGAACTTTTATCAGAAAAATACTTTGTAGAAGTAATTTGTGTAACAATTACTTGCAGAAGTGACCAGCTTGTGCTATTTCATATTCTAAATAAACACAAACTCTTATCACTTAATTTAGAATAAAGCTTGTCTTCATTTTCCAGTACCTGAAGACCGGTGAAGCCCCTCAAAAGACACGTTTAGCAAGAAGGTAGAAGAACGCTCGAGGAAGATGCCTGTCCTGTATGGCTGTCTCCCGTGGGCAGTGCCTGCACAGCATGGCTGTCCCACCACCCAGGCAGCAAACCCACCCCCCTCCTCCTCACCAAGGGGGTGAGGAATAGGGGCCAGCTCAGGCGTGAACCTCAAGTTGCTGTAAAATAATCCTTAGCCGCATAATTCTTAGTATGTTTGCCAGCCATTGCTTGGCAATTTAACAATTTAACTTAAAGAAGCTTCCAGACTGGAGGAGGCAAAGTCAGTTTATTTTACTGGCCATTTATTTTTACAAAAAATGAGATTTAGCTGCTCCCAAAAGCATGCATCAGCACATTGACATGCTTGCAGTACCTTCCTTCGCAAAGGTTTATGAGAGCCCTGGAGCAGAGCACGCTGTACCGCTGCGTTCTGGAGCTCTCACCAGTTACAAGCAGCATAACCCATACTGTTGGTATCACCACCTCCATTAACTTCACAATTTGCTCCCTGCCTTTAGAGGCTGGTTTTAAAGCAACCTACACCAAAGCATAAGGCAGCACTAGGTCAAGTTCAGCGTTAGAAAGAAGTCAGAAGTGACAGTTGCTGAGGTGCAGCGCTTTTGATAGCAACAATGGCAACAGCCTCACACACAGCAGTCGGGTTTAGGAGTACAGGCTGCGACACGAGCTCTCCACTTGCAGAGGGGCACCCAGGGAAGCGACTCTGGAGGCCCTGAACCAGCCACAGCCTGGGCAGGAACAGTGCCAGCATAAAAGTCCACTTCCAACACAATGCAGAAGTTCTCTTCTGCTGCGCTTTGAGGTAACGGTAGGGTAAGGGAAAGCTAAACCTGGAAATAACCACTTACAGTACAAGGTCAACTTACCACCCAACACAGGTCTAACACTTGACACACAGAGAAGCCAGTGCAAAACTAAAGTTTATTTACTTGAAGTAAACAGTTACACAATGTAAGTCAAGAGTTCAAAATAACAGCTACTGAAGCTATTGTTTAGAAAAAGTTACCCACCTGTAAGTTTTAGTCCATTAAAGCAATACAAAAATATTTACAAATATACACAAGATTCCCATCTGTGGCTTCTGGATCACTGTGCTCTACATCTGAAAGAGAAACCTAAGATTCCAAAATTAAGGTCTCAAAATAAATACTCAGTATTAACAAGTCTTCAACCCGATCAGAAAATTTCAGATCTCACTACTGAAGTATGCATAATGCTGCAGTCAGAGACAGCGAGAAAAATACACTAGCGTGCCCGGAACACTGTACTTTTAGGTGAGAAGTTTAAAAACGTTTTCTTCTCCTCCTTCTTGACAGGAACCCACTGCCCATAGGGACTTCCCTTTCTGTCCTCTTCTCTTCCCGGAGAAATTGCCGGTTCTTTTACAACAGGGCTCACTGGCTTCTGCAGCACGGGTTTTGCCATTGTATTCTGGAAAAAGAAATTCCCTTCAAAAATGCTAGAACGAGAAGGGAAATACTAAGACCTGCCAACTACAAGGGGTTTATCTGTGCTGGCAAGACAAATGTTTTCATGCACTTTATTGACACAGGATTCAGGGAAGTTGCTTTTTCTTTAGTTCTGCATTATTAACATATATCTAAACATGTAACTTGGGGCACCCTCCTCCAGGGACAAGCCACTGTCCCGGTTTCAGCTGGGATAAGAGTTAATTTTCTTACTAGCAGCTGGTGCAGTGCTGTGCTTTGGATTTAGGATGAGAATAATGTTGATAACACACTAATATTTTATTTGTTGCTAAGCAGTTGAGGACTTTTCAGCTTCTCATACTGGCCATACATGGTGGCAGGGGCACCCAAGAAGCTGGGATGGGACACAGCTGGGACAGCTGCCCCCAGCTGACCAAAGGGATATTCCACACCATATGACGTCACGCTCAGTGGATAACGCTGGGCGATGAAGGAAGGAGGACAGGGGGGACTCGGAGTTATGGCATTTTGTCTTCCCAAGATCACGTTACACATGATGGAGCCCCACTTTCCTGGACACAGCTGAACACTGTACCTGACCTAGCAACCAATACTGGGAAAAGCCTATCACAGGAGGGATGAAGTACTGGAATTCCATCTTGGGAAGTCACACTTACATTAGGACTGAAAGAAATGCCTCTCTGTATGGTTGCTCTCTCCATCGCACTTTTGGTTGTGTCTTCTGCTAGTCTTCTGGGTTGCTAGAGAAGAGCACACACAGCTTCAGTGGGAGGACACATTATTCTGTGCAAGTTAAGGCAGTTACTACAGAGTACAAACTTTCTGGTAGAGCTGTTTCAGATATTTACATCAAAAGTAGCTGTAAGCTACTAAATATGCAAACAGATCAATGCTGAATCAATTTGAAAAGCATTCGGTATTTTTACCAATGTCATTGTACCAATTCACATGTGAGCTGATATCCATGCCCTAGTTACAGTTTTAAAAAGGATTCAAACAACTCAAAGCATGGACTGCCGTACAAGGAAGTGCAGTGGTACATTTGCATTAAGTTCTGCATATCCATCCTGCAGAGCTTTGGATAATGACAATAAACTTATCTGCAAGTGATGCAGGCCTCTTCTTCTGTACTCTCTCAACATCTGGAATATATTGCATATATCATGAAAGGGATGCCTGTACCATTTCTCTAAAACCCTTAGTAAATTTACTTCCATTTGAAATAGCAGTATCTCATCAATGTAACAGTTATTGCAGTTTTGTATTTACCATGAATCAGGTTAACACACTGTAACAACAGAGCCAAACTAAAATTCAGTTTAAGCTGCTCAAGTTTCTCCCTCCCTTAAATTCACAGCAGCTACAGCCCACAAGTCCCTTAATTACCAACAGATTTTCTTCATCATGTCTGGAACCATAGTCATGATTTCTATAAGACAGAAATAAAGTATGTAAAATGCATTGTGTGCTTGGGTATGTAATTTCTGGGAAACAGTTTGTTGCATAAGAAAAGCTTTCAACAGTTAAAAAAGAAAGATTTAACCTTTAAAAAAAAAAAAACAAAACACACTATTCAGTAGGTTTGGTAAGGAGACTCCTTGTTTTAGGCCAGAAGCCTAAAACTAGTCTAATTAATGGGCAATATCCTGCTAGAAGAACAACTCAAAAGAACAAACTAAATTCACCTCTCCTTCCCAACCTATCACTACCGGGAAGCCTGCACATACTCAGCGGATCAACCACCTCTCAGGAGTCCACAGTACTTTCAGCTTAACACAAAGTCTACAGTGGTTTCTCCAGTAGTTTTTAAACATTCTGGTAAATCCGAGGGCTTTATTCAAGGGTTTGAATTCAAAATCACAAACTCCACAGTTAAGACCGTAACACACCCATGCAGACGACAAGTATTAAGAAGTGTTTACCTTTTCATTGGAAATACTCCAGTTCATACTTACCCCAGCTGACTCTCCAGGATCCTCATGCTCTTGTTTTTCATTTTTTGTCTCTTTGGAAGGAGTAAGGATCTTCAAGCTTGCTGGCAAGACAATGTTATCTGTTCCCAGAGCTTTTGCAGCATTAGCTTTCGCGATTTCCAGGAGTTCCCTCTCTTGTCTACAAGAGGAAAAAAAAAAAGCGTCATCTTCTTTTGTTTAAATCAACATATACCTACTCATACAAGCCTGAACACTGCAGGTTTACTATCACTACACCTATGTAAGCACTAACTGTGATGAATTTTCATCAGAAGTTGGGAAATCTGGCTTCAGCTGAACCACAAAGAATATGCTCTGAACTTTGTAAAATATGTTTTTACAACCACACTGAGATTTTCTTCCACATTGCCATTATCAGTTATGCTCTATAAAGCAAGTAAACAGACAGAATTTGCCTGGTTAAAATAAATACGAATCATATGTTTTGAGGTTCATAAAATTCTCAAAAAAGTACCTTTTTCACTCAAATGGAGAGGTGACCTGCTCCGAGATCTTGTTCGTGATCTGCTTCTCCAGCTTCTGTAAGCCTCGGGATATATTGTTCGCCCAAATCCATAGTATCTTCGGCCTCTTGAACGTGATCTACTTCTTGAATAGGACCTCCTGTAATACGATCTTCCACGAGACCACGACCTGCTGCGTGATCTGTACCTTGGAGGAGAGCGGTGGTACCTCCTGTAGTGTCTGGCACGATACCGTCCTCGGTACCTCATGTAGCCACGTGATCTCGAACGGCTTCTGGAATACGAACGAGAGTATCTTCTGTACCTTCGGGAACCATTTCTTCTGGCTGATGACCTTGACCTTGATCTGGACCGGCTCCAACTCCTGGAGGAAGCTGAAGAGGAACTACTGGAACTGGACTGTGAACTGCAAGAGGATCTGCTAGATGACCTTGTTGATGACCTATCACAACTTCTCTTGGATCTCAAAGACGATTCTCTTTTCTTCGGCGAGCTGAGGGTTAAGTCATCCATGAAGTCTGTCATATCATCAGTTTTTGTAACAACCATTTTCTCCATACAGGTATTTTCAGAAGCTGGTTCCGTTTTTATTGGTGTTCTGCAATACCCAGTCTCTGTTCCTGTTGTGGGTGCGGAAGGGGAAGTTAATCATTTATACAGCAACAACAAACATTATGACACACAGGCAAAGAGTTCAAGGATAATTAAACACACCAACAATTCTCATCCAGTTTATCAGCATGTTTTGCACATGACAATTTTAAGTTCAGTCATTTCCTCTCCTGTAGTCAGTCTTTTCTATATGAAATAAAAACGGCTTCAGTTTAAACCATGAGTAGTTCTGTGTGGAATTTTGAAAAGAGGTTTGTTTGTGAGGGTTTAAAGTTTTAATACCCTTCGTTTGCTAGATAAGATAAGATTTGTGAAAACGATACGAGTTAATACCTTTTTTCCTCTCCTAAGAGAATTGTCAAGGTATTTTATCTTCAATCTATTCTAAATGCAGCCTATTGCATCTACAACACAAAATAACCATTTGCCTTCCAGATCAGAATAAAATTAATAGTTTTCTTCTGCAGTTCTATAGAGGTTAAGTTTTACCGTTTCCCTCCAACAGGAGGAAAAAAAAAAGTACCTTCAAGATACAAAGTAGCCACTTCCTTGACTGTATCACGTTAAAAAACTATCTGCACAAAACTCCACACATCCCAGCAGTGTATGTAGCAAGCTGCTATTAAAAACATTCTACATAACTAGTGAAAAATACAGCTAATGATTCACTGGATATGACTTCTAAAGAATGTAACACTTGTTAAGATTATATATTAATAATTAAAATGGCTGTCCCTCGCTAGTGGCAGCCATTTTCTAGCTACAAAGGTTACTGTACTCTAGGGCGTAACTGCCTTGTCTCCATTACTTACACCCTGAGTTACATCACCACTTTACAGTTAAGGAAACTTGCTTTGTCACAAAATTTCTATCGGGTGCTCACTGTAAACCAAAGTTACCAAATAAATCTTAAGATCTTACTGAAACCCATCAAGTGTATTAAGTTCTACACGAGTTTGTAAGCAGCGTTCCACTCGCTACCACTAAAGCTGAAGTTCCACTGCTTCACCTCTGAACAAGGGCTAAGGTCACCCCCACTGTACAGCGCACAGCTGAGACGAAACAACTGCTTAATTCCGATCTGAAACACCACCCCACCTCCCATCGCTAAGCTACCTACGCATCAGCGTTTCCCACACCGCACATACCGAGCACATCTCACGTACTCTCGCACAAGCACCGAGCAAACCGCACAGAAACCGCGCTCCCTCCGCCCACGCGTCAGCGGGCTGAAGGCACACGGACGGGACTTGGCCGCAGAGTGCTTTAGGGGCACTTACCGCTGGGAGCCGCCGGGCACCCCCGATGCTGGTTCCCGTGAGAGACCAAGGCGCTTCTGTAATAAAGAGAAACGTGAGTAATGTCTGTCCTCCACCCCGCAACGGCGACCCCCCAACACACCCAACGAACGCCGAATAACGGCCTCTCCCCTCCCACCGCCCCCAAGATCCCCTTTTTGGGAGGACACCCCAGCCCCCGCCGGCGGCTCCACAGAGCTGCCCCCGCGCTGCCCCGTCAACTCACCGCCTCCAGCCAGCCGGGCTTCCCCCGCACGGATCCTGCTCCAGCGG